TATGTATATACATATATGTATATTGAGCAGAATATATACTATATAAAAAGTATTCTTTGTAGGTATTCTATTGTTTATTGTTAATATATTAATTAATTTTTATATTATATTTAAAATGGAATTTCAATTTTTTAATGCTACCCACTGTTTAATTTAAAATCTGAGACGACCTTTAACGTGTTACATTTGATTCCCTATACGACATTTTTGAACTGGAAATAATGTTTCCCCAAAGCACAGTAAAAATAGAAACTTGAATAAGCTGAAGTTAGAATATGTGTATAAAAATGAATTTATATACATATTCATTTTAATTATAATTGTTCATTCTAGCTAAAAATGTTTTCTGCTTATTGACCAAATACTTCCTCTCATTTGGCCTCGTTAACCATTCTATGTGCTTTAGGTGCCAGTTGCCTCTTTTCAATGTGAAAACCCTTTTCACAAACTCGGTTCTGGCTAGTTTTGTGTATCATGTTTTTTTTTTTTCATTATTTCCATTATAGTCTCTGCTTTCTTCTATTCACCTTTTGCAGCAGAACAATGTGTGCTTGTGCATCGTATGTGGTATATGTCCTTCGTTATCTGATGTAGTTAACTTCTAGAGTAACCATAATAGCATATAGCTATAATTTATTATTTACATTGTCCACATTTTCGAAAATTCTCTGCTGCGATTTGTTTTAAAATATATCTTGACAAATTTATTAATTATTTTTTACGTTTGCTCAACTCAGTTCAGCTTATTGTCTTCTAAGATTATCCAAGAATCGATACAACTTTACAATTTTGATAAGTAAGGCAATGCTGTGCGTGTTACACAATTTTGGAAAGTCCCTCTTTGAAATCTCATTTTTTGTTGACAATCCAGTTTTAATTTGTTATCAATATTTATTCCTTCATAGAAGCTATTTTTAATATGAAAAAGCAACGTTTCATATCTCTTGGCTTGAGTTCAAATAAGACTTCCAAGGTCCCAGACTTCTTCACTTGGCCCTTTCTGTACACCCAGTAAAGAGTGAAAAGGTTCAATACAAATTTCCTTTCATAACCAGTTATATACCCATTTTAATCGAACGAAATTTGCATCTAGCTTCATATGATTGCCTATGATTCAAGCCTAGTTAGCCCATTTGGCTCAATTTCAGCAACTTCGCAACAAAACCAAGAATTTAATACTGCACGTTCTACTACTTTTTCATTTATTTTTATCAGAGCTTCGACTGACATGCGTTGCTTGCCGTTCCATGGGAAGACGGACTGCAATTTCCGACTGGCCAATGCCATGACTCAATCTCACTCGCCAACTCTCCAATAAACCATGGCCAACACGCATATGCATAGACAATGGCGATTATTCCATGGCCAAAAGGAAAAAAATGAAGAAAGGCTATTGGCAAAAAATCCAATATTTGTTTTTTCCTTTTTCTTCTTTTTCTCCTCCTCCTTCTTTGTTACTTCGTGCCATAAATTTGTAACTCTTGACGTCGCGACGTCCGTCTGTGCGCTCAACTCAAAATTAGCGTTTAATGCGAATCAATGGAGCCGAAAGTGACAACTTATTTGGGCTTAATAAATTATTGATCTATGTATTTAGAAATAGGGCTGCAGTCAGTGGAATTAAATATTAAGAGAATATGCTAAATATATAAATATATAGAATATATTTGTAATAGGTAAATATATAATACATTTATTCATTTATTTATAACCCTATAGAATGTTATATAATAATAATAAATGTAATAATATTTTTAAAAAATGGGCTAAGATTTGTATATATTATGAATACTTTTTTGAATTTAAATAGGTTTTATTTAAAAAACATAGTGTAATTTAATAATGAAAATATAAAAATTAAAATAAACAAATACAAATCAGAATTAAATGAAATAAAAAAAAAATAAATTTTCCTTTAAATTAATTTATATAAATCAAAAGATTTAAATATTCTTAAATAAATATGTATTTTTAAATTCGTATAAAAATAAGAAATAATCAGTTGTTTATTAAACGCAAGTAAAGAATATCTTGATTTTATTATTTGTATCAAAATAATTTAGTTCAAGATCTTCTC